CAGAAGCGTGCCACTGCACTCCAGTCTGGGTGACAGAGTGAGACCCCAACTCAAAAAAAAATAAAATAAAATTGTTGGGTGTGATGGTGCGTGCCTATAGTTCCAGCTACTTGGAAGGTTGAGGTGGAAGGATCTGAGCTCAGCAGGCTGAGGCTGCAGTGGTCTTGAACGTGCCACTGCACTGCAGTCTGGGGTGAGAGAGTGAGACTCCAACTCAAAAAAACCCACACAAGACAGTGAAACAGTTCTGTGACCCTAGGGATACATGGCTGAGAGTGCTGGGCAAGGTCACTGGAGGGAGGGCAAAGAACCGAGGTTGGGCCTGAGGTTGTTAAAGTCTCCCGGAATCCAGAGCGATACCAAGAGCCACGTGACAGCCCCCATGGTTGACAGTGAGGCATGATGGAAAAGATGGCGGCCCTGCAAGGACCGCATCAGAATAGGTCTGTACCCAGAGAGGCACACAGTGTGCAGGAGGGCGGCGAGGAGCAAGGGGGATGCCGACCCTTCCTCCTGTCTGGACAGAGTCCGACTCCATTTCTGCACTGACAGGACCAGGTGCAGGCCTGGGATTCCAGAAGCCAGGTGGAGCTCCGGCCACTGACTAGTGCGGTGAGCCCTCTCCGAGCCTGGTTTCCTAGAATGAGTCAAAAAGGGAATCCCAGAGGGGCAAGCATGGCGGAGGGGCCAGATCTCGCCAGGCCAACTGCCGGCGTCGGGCGTCTCCATGGCGACCGGAAGCGTGACACGGAAGTGGGCGGGGTCGGGGCGGGGCATCTCTGTGACGCCAGGGGCTGGGCCTAAATGGCGAAACCCAAGCGGCTCCCGGGGGGGTTTGAACTGGCCAATGGGCGAGCTGCCGACCGGTTGTCGGAAAAGGAGGCGGAAGCGGGGTGGAGCCGCCGCCGGAGCTGGACTGCATCCGCCGCGGCGTCTCCATGGCACGACCCTGGCCTCCGACTTCAACGACTTCATAAGGAGGCGGTTCTGGGCGCAGCCGTGTCGCTCCTGGTGAGAGGCCGCCGGCGGGCGGGACCCAGCGCGCTC